CAGAGCTGCACAGAGCAAGAACCTTTGCCTAATGATAGAGGACGTGATCTCTATCAGCTGGACACGTATGAACTTCCAGGCTTGGTGCAACAGCCACTAATCTTACGAATGCCCCACCTTTCACTTTAAAGTGTCAATGGGGACGGTGGCTTTTTTTTTTGGGGGGGGGGGGTGTTTGTTATGCCTCACAACATGATCAAAGTTTTATCCATCAACTGGATTCTTTGGACAATACTTATGGCCTTTTAAATGCACAGCCTTCCTGAATGTATGCTTTCAATCTGTGGATTTTAAATAACCTGTTTTAATAGTTTGTAAATACAGAAGTGTATTACAAAAATTCAACACAAGTGGACAAGTGTCAAAATACGCAAATTAAATGGCTCTTGCGGAGTCTCACCACAAATATGTGTGTTTTACCAGGTTTCTGTCAAAACCTGGTAAAGGTGGGATAGAGTGAAACCTGTCTGTAATGTGTGCTTCTAAAGTTGCAGGGCTGGTGATACAGTGATGCCTTTTCAGACCATGTAAACAAAAAAGGGAACTCAGCCAATTAACTGTGTGAAACAGGAACTCTGTAAAGCATGGGTAGAGCAGGTCCTCTAACAATGGGAAGGTTGGTGGTTCAATCCCTGGCTGCAGTGTGCAAGAGATGTAACCCCAAGTTGCTCTCTGATGCATTAGTGTGAATGTTAAACTGCGCTTAAGGGGGAAAAAGTGCTTTTGTGAATGAGGCAAGTTGGATAAAACTCTCTGAGTAGTGAGAAAGACACTATATAAGAACCAGTCCAGTTATCAAACACCTTGCTTTTAGAACAATGACCTATCAAAACATTAGGCACATGGCTCAACTTGCCCCAATGTTGGGGTAAAATGGGCCCTACAAGGGTAAATAAAATTGCACATTAAGGCTTGAGATAATTTCAAACTTTATTGAGCCTTCAGTTCAATAAAGGTAAAAATACATTTGTTTCCTGTTCATACTATGGAAACATTTTCAGTAAATATTAAATTGTGATTTTAGTGTGTTAGCTACAAGATGGACAAGAGGACTCAGAACACCACTCCCCCAAAAGGCAATGGGTAGCGTAAAATAACGCGTGTTGTGCAGCTCTCTCCATGTTCTTTCGTATGATATTTCATACTATATCTAATGACATTGTGGTTTCTTTTAAGTTTTTTTTTTTTTTTTCCATGGTAGACTACTAACAAGGGTCCAGGTCAAATGTTCAGGTGTCCTAGGTACTCATGTCCGCAGAAGCATATTATATTGTGAAGTTTGAAGACAATTCATAAAACATTGTGGGTAACATAAACTTTTATACTGATTTTCACATTTGGTGTGATCTTTATGTTGACCTCATTTTCACCAAAATCAAAACCACTCAAACTTATTGGTATCTACCATCACAAAATAATGTGATATAATATAATACTGAAAACTGTCGAGCTAGACTGCTAACAATCAGACAAACAAACAGAACCAACTACATATTTCCTCCCTTGGGAAGACTAATATATGTATGGAGCTCAGTTTCATTACCATCAATTGCTGCAGAGCATTGCTGCTCTGTTTAGATCATCTAAGAATGCAAAGCCTTTATCTTTTGCACTGTCTGGCCATCTTTAGCTTTTCTGTGGAATACTGGAAATGAACACTTAAACGCAGATGTTTCTAGGCACATAGTCTACATAAACTCTTTGGGGTTATATTCCAGCCACTGACTCAACTTGCCTCAATATCACTGTCACATTTTCCCCCAAGCCTCATTTTTAAAAAACTGTTTTCAGACAATGACCCAGATCCACAATTATCTTAAGACTGTGATCTAATTTTATAGCATAACCTGACTGAAATTAACATGAAAAAATGAGGTAAACTTTATTTCCTTAACAACAATAAAATAAAAATTTAGGTATTGTGACTTGAAATGACAAAAATGATTGCTGATCACTCTTTCAATGTGTTTGAGTCTAAGAAAGATTGATGATTATTGTAAGGTATTCCTCATTTGTGTTTGTGTGGTCACATGATTACATTTGTTTGTGGTTAACAAGATACAGGAAGCGGTTTTAATTGCTGGCATGACTCTCCTACATGATTTCTCCATTTTATTGTTAATCATGGAAAATAAAACTTATTTTCCAGTGTGTCAAATGCAGGACTAAGATCCAGTAATAAAAGTACAACAGAGTCACTATCAACAATACATAAAAGGTCATTAAAAACCCGTATTCTCTTATTTTACTAAATATAGATGTTACTCTTTTTTTAAATTCACATTTCAGCTGTAACACTAATAAGGTAGAAAACGGTGAGAATTCAGAGACTTCTGTGATTTATGTCCAACCGTTTTCAAAAGCTCAGAAGGACCTGCTCAGCACTTGTCACTGAGCTCCTGCATTTCTCTTCAGAGCAGCAGGGGGCAGCAGAAGAACATGTATGTTCCTCATTGCACTTTCTTGAGCAGGCACTTTGCTTCCATTCTTTGTTTCCACTTAATCCTTGAGAGTGAAGTGTTACTGCAGTTTTTCTAAGTAATCGTCTTCATCCTGATGAGATTGGTCTCTCCCAGGAGGACAATCACCCATATCCAATAAGCTCGCTGACAGTGATCAGACGATCTCTAGCCAAGTTCCAGAGCCCTGCAGAGTCACTACCAAGGTCTACAGAAGCTATTGTATGACTGAGTGTACTATGTTTTATACTTTAAGTTGTCCCCTGTCTGTATAGAGTAAAGAGGTAAATGATTGGTATGACAAAGGCTGCCAGACATCCTGCCAATCCTGCACCCAATGCCAAGTTGGAAAAAAGGCTTCTTTCTCCTCTCTCAGGTTTTCGGTTTGGTTCTCGTGTTGCTGTCACTGGCTTGGGTTTCACTGTGGCTGCTGTGAAAAACAAGTGTTGATTATACAACTGATTAGGATTACTGAAAGAACATACCAAATAAATGTATTTTCAAATTCAGTTAATTTTTAACACTTAAAAACAAGTAGATTTGACCAAAGATGTCCATTGCTGGAGAGGCAAACTCAACTTGAAAGCAGTTACATAAAACATAAAAGCAGTATGACATCAAAATGCTTCACAGTCGGTCAGAGCAAGAGCATAAGACAGAATAAAAGAAACAGTTAAAAGGAGGGCAAGACACAATATGACAATTGTTTGAAACAAACAAAAAAAAAAATAGCCACGAAATAACATACTAGTTTGAATCAAAAGCCACAATAAAATAATACGTTTTAAGACGCAATTTAAAATGTATCTTCATGTTAGCAGACAGATCTAGTCTGAGCAGTGATAATGTCTATTCTAATGTCCGGATTTTGTGTGTGCAGACTTTTTATTCATGTCTTAGTTTGAAAAGATAAGATCTGTGTTGCCAAACCATCATTATACTTTTGATCAACAAAAACAGTGTTAAATGGTGAAAGTTAATTATGCTCAATAATGATCAGAACATAATTAGTAAATATAAAGATGTTTGAGTTTGGCTAAAAGGATGACTAAGAATAAAAGTATGAAAAGAAAATAATTATTTTAGATACAGGCGTAACTCGGGTCTAGAAGACAGCCTGTGTAGAAACATCCTTGAACGATATGAGAGTGAATGTGAGAGTGAATGACCACATAGAGTACACTATGATCTCTGAATGCCTGACTTTCAAAGTGTATGTTTAGTGAAAAAGGGGATTGTATTGAGATTATTGTAATTGACACACAGTTTTAAAGAGAAAAGTATCTGGATTAAAGGGGATTAGGGTTTGGATTTGTCTCCATTTCCCTCAACATCATCATGATCATCATTATCAATGCCATGTTAGATTATAACTCTGAGAAGGATTTGGACTTCCATCATTTTCCAAGTGGACTGCAGATTCTGCAGACTTCCAAGGTGCCCCCTGTGGATTATAACTTTGAGAAGATGTGGGATCCATCAAGGAATCCTGCTTTCCTGATTATTTCCATTAACACAAAAAATCCTCTCTCACCCTGAAGCCTGGTTATTATATTTACATTATTTTAACTGTAAATATGTATTTGTGTATTCTAAAGTTTTGTGTTTTCAATATGAATTTGTTTTTCCGGCCCTTTTTTAGCTTTGTAAAGGTGATATGTAAATAAATGTCATTACTCCAGTAGCAGAAATAGGAATAGTAGTCGTACACGCACACACACACAAAGCTTACCAGTGATGTTGAGCCTGAACTCTTTAACCTTCTTTCCAAACTGAGTGGCCATCCTGCAGAGGTAGCGCCCCGAGTCGTTACTCCTAACTCTGGACAGCTGAAGTCTGACTCGTCCTGTCGTCAGAGCGTCTTTGTCACACTGAACACGTCCAGCAAACTGCTCGTGCTGAGGCTCATCAGAACTAGTGTCCATATTGAAGAAAACCTTCAGCTCAGGTAACTGCAGGCAGTGGATCTTAAGCGATGAAATGGTGATGCTAACTTTGGTTGTAAACGTCCATTCTACTGTGATGTCACTATTTTCTTCAGCCTGATAGTACAGATCCTTGTTATGATTAGCGGACATTTCTGAGAGGAAGAGAAGGAGCCAGGACAAATTCAGACTCAAAAAGGGAACAACCCCACTTGCATGAGCAATCCAGTTCCTCCACTCAGACTAGAGAGAAGCCTAGCAACCAGCTAATAGCTATAGCTTGTTCTGTTGACATGCAGCTGTTGGTCAAGTGGCCACTATTCCAGTTTGCTAGTAAGACTAAGTTTGTTTTTTTGTACTATGTAGCTTATTTTTGACGCAAAGTAGGAAATTCAAATCTGGGCTATTCTATGCTAGCTAAATTTTTTAGCCACTGCATGGCATTAGCAAGATGACAGACAAAAAAGTTCGAGTTCATCTAAATTTATCACAATTTTTCCTCTGGGAATGATGATGGCTAAACTATTAAAAACAACCGTTCTAACCATTACTAAATGTTTATGTAAAATATAAATTCACAAAGGTACTAAATCAGCGTCCTCATGGAGGTTCAACTAACCGCAGAAACATGAAGTCAGAATTATGAGGAGAAAGCTCCTACACATGGTCTTCTCCCTGTGAATGAACACACATGATGGTAGTTCACAGAATAACAATGACAGGACTATAAAACACTGAATAATTACACTGAAAATACTGTTAACAATCCACAAAGAAAGTTCAAATTCTGTTGTCTAATTATAAATACACAGTCATTGCTTTTTAATTTTGCTGTTATACAATACTACAACAAGCACCAGTGACTTGTTTCCACAGACATCCACACATAGTCGCAGCTTCACTTACATATTACACATGACATATCATATAGCCCTTACCAAATGTTCTCTGTTCAATAGAATTTCTGAAGTCCCTCTGAAACCTTCAGCCAGCTAATAAGTTCCACGATAAACTCTTGCTTTGCTTACATGCTTATTACAGCAGCAAGTGTGTCTTCCACGGCTCCTTTCTTTTTCTGCAAACTGTTTTCCTTATCTGACATCAGCCGGTCACATTTAGTTTGACACTCCCTCTTAAACACCAAAAAGAGAAACCAGTTTAACAGTGAACATTTTTCAGAGTTCTAAGAAAGGCTAGCACATTACTCAGATGATGACTCATCTGAGACTGCTTATTTTTGAGGTTTCTATTCAAAGTGTTTCAGTAAGATCTGATATAATACGAATCATCAAAATAGCATTATATTGGCCATATTACTACAGACTACAGAAATACACTAAAACTAAAAAAAAAACTACTCTCAAATCCGTAATAATTATTTTGCATATTCTGAGCTATGAGGTTTGTTGGGTTGTTGTTGTCGTCATACTTACTGTCATACGTCAATATTTTGATATGCAAATAACATATGATCAGAATTAACATTAGTTGTTATCAGGGAAAATGTAAATGAAAATGTATTTCTACTGTATACTACCACAGCTAATAACACATAGCTACAAAGCCACCTAATTCAAATGTAAGTGTAGCAGTTTTGTGTAAGTCCACTTCTTTCACACATCAGCATTTCCGCAGAGCAAAATGTGCAGGAAAACAGAAACGGGAAGTTGGTCAATGACAACAAGAGCCCAGACTAAGAGTGAAAGAAACATGGCCAAAAAAGGTCATTCTTTATAAGATGCAAAGTTTCCAATTTGTGCTGTATGTTTACTAAACTCTGTATTTGTCACACACTTATTGTCTTTTCTTTTTTTTTTTTTTTAACTGAAGTATATTAAGCAAACATAATTAAAATGTCTAGTAGCTCACCTCCGGGAATGTGGATTTTATCTCCTTTTTGATTTTTTACAATCCACCCCTTCAAGGCTAAAACATCTGTAGATCAAGCCTAATGACTGACAGTGTGACAGTGGGATTGAAAAAGAGGGTACTCTGGGTGATTAGAAAGTGAGCAAAAATTAAGCCACTGTAAAACTGTCACAAACAATTTCATCTTTTTTGAGTGAAACTGTAGTATGATCTACTATGGGCTAAGTCTGTTACTTGTGCCTGATGAACTCATGGAGTTTATGGGTGCAGCATGCTAACCCAGCATTGCTAATGTTAGCTGGTAGCTTTCTAATCCATCCTCTAATCCAAATAAGATTACTTCTGACTCCAAAAATAAGCCACCATCATGGCAGCATGTATGCTAATCTTGAAGTTTCAAAATATGGAGCTGCAGTGGTTACAGCAAAATGTGCACCCGCTGGTTTTGTCTGTGTCTTGTCTTTGAATTATACAAATACATGGCATCTCACTGAGACTTGGACTTGATAAAGTGAGTCGTTATTTTCTCCTGATTGTCAAAACACTGTTTTGGTTTTTGAACAATTTTGTGTTCTTTGGAAATGAATGAAAAATACACCAGGCCCTGGCCCTGCTAGTGATGTATAGTGTTTATTCCATTCTTACTACGATCACATAAATCAGCATTAACAGATTATATCCATCATCTGGACAGACAGGATCTGACAGAAGGCTTCACATCGCGATGATGAATACACTGGAAAATAACTGTGTGTTAGTCACAAGGAAAACACAAACTTCCCGCCACGTTTATCACTCCCTCAGAGGAGCAAATCTAACTAATGCATGTCGTTAGGGAAACTTAACATAGACATACAAAATTAAAGTCACCAGAGATTTTTGGCTTAAAAAAATATCACAGCACAAAACAAGTCAAACAGTTTTTCTCAGTAGATTTAAAGCAAAACTGAAATCTTATATTACGGTGCAGCAAAAACTACCCTGGAGAAATAAGTGATGTTGTCACCTGTTTTGAATAGAAGTAGATGAAGAAGTTCCAGTGCTCTAGAGAAGCAGCTGTTATATTCTTTTTTGCTTATGTAGGATCTGAGTAAGACTGCATTTCCTCATTGCCCTGCCTTCTATCCAAAGTGTGGTGTTTTCCATTCAGTAAAAACGGGCTTTCCAAAAACTCTGACAAGTCAACCTGTGGTTTTGAAAGGGGCAGTTTTGTGTCGAATCATCACCATCCTTTGACAGATCATCCGCGCATATGTGCGAACATTAATATGACATTGTGTTGCTTAAAATACATTTCTATTTTTAGATTTTTTTATCTTCAAATGCCTGCTGGTGATTTAAACTCTAAAATTCAAAGAATATTTGCCTTTTCTAAGGGTTTCTACGCTGCCACTGAAAGTCATCTTAGAGAACAGGGTCATGTCCTTTATTTCTGCAAATGTGACTTTGATTTCTGGGTATTTGAAGGTTTTAATAACCAAGGAAAATTTTTCATTTTATATAAAAAACTAAATAATAAAATATGGTAGTGTGGTGTGGTTTTGTAGTGTGGAGAGGAAATAAAAAAAGGAACTGTTACTATAAACTACTGTACATTTTATATAATAACTTAGTTAAACTATCTGATATTCATCTTTTAATGACAACAGCTTTGTATGACTAACTGCAAGACCTGCCAATCAAGGCATTCACATCATCAACATACCTTTGTTAAAAAAAAAAAAATCCAGAGTAATCTGTTGTGTACTTAAGTGAAGTGGCTTCTAGTTGTGCTGAAACTTAAATATGAGCCCTATACGATATTTACCAGTGGGATGTATATCAGCTGATATACTGGGCTGTAGATGGTTCCTGCATGCCCCAAGCTCATTTTAACAGATCTGCCAAACTGTCTGAGGATGTGAATACTTTCCTAAGTAGATACTTGATATTAACGTAATGACTCTAAGATTATAACAGTCCATCAGTCACTTTGTCCACCAATGGATTGCAGTTATATTTATTCTTTTCCTGGATAAGAAGCATGTTTTGAACTTTGTGTGTGTTTGTGCGTTTTTCATAATTTATTCTTCTCCGTAGACATCCTCCCAGCATGCCGTGCTTCTCGCGTGCTCCTCAGGGCCTTGGTCCTTTTGGGGTCCACCACTGCATAGTCCACACGTGTACGCTGGCCTCGTGCTTGATCCTCGCCGTCTCCAGCGTGCTCACTGCCCCCGGTTAAACCTTCTCCAGTGCAGCGTTTCTGGTTACACAGAAACACAATGAGAAAGATTTATATGATTTTTGGGAGTTTGGGGTTTTTGCGGTTTTTTTTAGATTATTTACTCGGAAAAACAAAAGTAATCCATTGGTGCCCTCTGGTGGTCAGACAAAATGATCACAGTCAAAATGTATTATTTATATCTGATGACAAATTATTAATTAAATAATGCATATGCTATATAGTATAACAGTAAAAGAAACAAAAGCACATTTAATTGAATGTTATGACTCGTGTGGAATGACAGAGTGAAACAGCGAGAGATGGTTTACCTGTCTGCTTGGTGTTGATTGTCCAGTGTGGAGGTCAAGGTCCAGGTACTCCACCTGCTTGTCATCTCTGGCTCGTCGTAACACAGGGCTGCTGACTCCGCCCTCTGAAGCCCGGTGCATCATAAGTCTCAGAGACTGTAAACGGTAACGTAGAGAGTTTAGTAAAGGAGTTATGAAATCTAGAAGAAAGAAAAAAATGTTAAGACATGATAGAGAGATGGAAGGTACTCACAATCAGGTATTAGAATATATTTCAAAGAAAGAAGGGAAACAAAGCCCCAAATAACAAAAGATGAGCCAAATGTTTTCAATATAATAAGAATAAAAGATGAAGAAGAATAAATGGGGAAAAAGAAAGCAAGAATAGTTGGAACATTGTGAAAAAATGGAACAAAACAGGGGAGATGTGTGTGTTTTACCTGCTCGCCGGCACTGAAACTGAGGCTAGAGGTCATCATTGCAACATAGTTGTCATCTGGGTCATCGGAATCAGAGGACGGTGAAGAGCTGTGAGCAGAGCTCGGCGTGACCATCCGACGACTGGAGGGTCTGTCACACAAACACATAAATATAAAATGAATCTTACATGATGATTTAAGATTAGGTAGTTTTTGCTTTTAAAGCAAAACTTCATCTCAATTTTGCTGACTTATAGATTGTTGGTCAGACAAATCAATCAATATTTATTCTATTGATGGCTGAGTAAAGAAAACTTTTACTTTGTAGTTTTTACTACAGAGTAACTACTTACTGTTAATTAGTATTTATATTTACTGATTCTACTCCATTCTTCTTTTATTAACTTAAATTACAACATCTTGCTGTTGTAAGATGATCTAAAAGTCCTTGTAGTAACCCTTAAGCACCACACGGTGGCAGTAGATTGCTGCTCAGCTATTAACACATCCTTCCTCTCTCTTACTCTGAAAGCGTTCCAGGCAGTAAATTTGTGTTCTGTAGTTTTCTGTTGACCTTGCAGTAAACGTGATCATGTCACGCAAACAAACATACCCACGGGTGAAGGTCCGTGTTACAGGCGAGCGCACTGGAGGGGGGACTTCCTGCCAGTCCTGCTGCACTGAAGAGATGTCCAGAGGAGCAGGTTTTACTGGGTGACAAAAGATGGGGAAAAAAGGGCGGCTTTACTTATTACAGTTTGAAATAATGTAAGGTTTAGTTCAAAGAGGGGCTGCTTGTTTTCAGGATATGAGAACAAGAAAACTGTATTTCCACTTGTCCTTCCTTTATATCTGTGATTAGAGCTGTTTAGTCAGCATAAAACAAAAGGCATTGCATTGTTTATTTTAAGCCTCGAGTTTGAAAAAATTCACAGTTTAACATAAAAAAGTAAGACCTGAGGTCTGATTTTCTAAATATATTCATAGTCTTCCTCAGTTGCTGAGTCATTTCAAACCCCCTTTTTTTTCAGTTCAGCTGTTGATTTTGGGTGATTTGAGTGAAAACGTGTACTTCGTTGTTTTATTGCTGTATTGACCAACTGAAAGCAGGCTGACGCAGACCTGCAGGCTGAGGAAAAAAACAAAGACAGGCTGTGTTTTTTTCACATTAGATGTGTGAACCAGCCAGCAGTCACATATATGACAAATTTGACAGAAATTTTTCTTTTATCTGGACAAACCACTCTTTGAAAACAACTAAAAACTGTAAATGGTGCCAAAGCATCCTAGTAATACTTTTAATGTTGGCTTTTAATGTTTATTATTGTAATTAAAAACAGAATAAAATTTTTATAGGAAGTAAAATCAGGTGGGGGATTTTTCCTTGCGTGTCCCGAAACAGTTTCCTGACTGTGAAATGAATTTAATGTGAACGTTTCTATAAGCAGCAGCTGGTTCGTGTCGCTGTGTGTGTGGCTGTCGTGCTCTTGTAGTGCAGGCTCGTTGAGCAAAGTGGGAGCAGGTGAATAATTAAAACAAAATGAAATGGCATATATTGAGGGGGGGGGGGGGGGGGGGGGGGGGGGGGGGGGGGAAGAGTCCCACAGAGGAGAAACAGCCAAGTGTTTCAGGAACAGAAAGCTTAGGGTCAAAGTTTGAAAACTGTTTCATTTTATAAGTGGGTGTATTGTCTTCAAACCACAATTTAAAAGAAAAAAATCAGTTGTCAGCACAGACAACAAAATGTGATTTTACAGAACAAGACAAGCTGAGTAAAAGCAAAAAGAGGAATCATGAAGTGGGAAGTAATTACAAGAAGCTCTGATGGAAAGCCCCTTTCACCAGTGTTTTTCATGGCTTCTAAGGTTCAGATGTTTTACTGCATTTACTTGCTTCAGTGGATGCATCAGCTTCTGCTGGTGTGATTACACTTTGAATCATTTTTTAAAGCTTCTTTTACATCTTCCACCTCTGCTGGACTGTTCGCTGATCATGCAAAATGTTTACTTTTTGATGCTTAGCAAATATTTTATATCTAGAATTTTAAATATTTGGCAAAATTTTGATTTTTCTATTTGTTTTCATTATTATTCAGCCATATGATTTTAATATTGTCTTAAATATCAAGAGAAAACTAAGTGTTGATGTAAATGTGTGTTGTAGTTTGTACCTCTTGTTTTATTTGTCAGCTCCTCAGGAGTTTGGCTCTCATTTCTGTCCACCGGCTGATTGGCACAAACCCCTGCAGAGACACGCACACCGCAAAACAGATGGCATTTACCAAAGAGTGCTGCAACAGCAACTCAGCTAATGCTACATTAATGCTTACTATGAACAGACAGAATCTGGTTTTTAAACTCTAGTTCATTTCCTTAGAAATATGCTTGTGGTTATTTAGGTGAATTTTACAAATCACCAAAATGCTTGAAAATACAAAATTTTTTAAAGGGAACATTATTTAATTCAACGTAAGGAGTTTTTCTCTTTTTTTTTTTTGTTTTTTATTTTTTTTTAAAATAAAGGCTCTGTTACAGCTTCCAGCTCTCACAGTAGAATGGTACTAAATTTAACACAAAACTTAATTTCCCACTAAGTTTCCGCTAACCTCTTCGTTGTGGTTTCAGGTTGCGGTGGATCGGAGGGGGCACGGCTTCTTGTTCACCTCCAGCAGAAGTGTTCATGGTATTTTTCCTGAGCGGTGGAGTGAGAGGAGCAAGGGGAGTCAGGGCGGAGTTACGGAAACCCATGTGCGCAGGGGGAGGCACCTGCCTCCCGAGAGATGCCATGTCAGTCATGACAGTGGTGGGGTGTATAGGAAATGAAGATGTCAGAGGGGTCATAGGGACGTAGTTGCCTTCTTGGAGCTGGGCAGAGGGGTCTGAGGGTGGAGGCACTCTGGAAGAAGAATAAAATTAATCAGAAATTAACGTTACTGAATTGTAAATTCCAATTTCAAATGTCCCAGATGTTCTTTTCATCACAGCATTGGCTGTCATTAGGTTTATCAAATCAATCAAATTTATTGTCACGTCACATTACTAGTACATTGGTACAGCACATGTGAGGGAAGTAGTTACTAATAGTTATAAGTAGTTCCTTATATGTGAGGTGATGTTAGCTTGTGTTTTAGTCCAAAGATTAAAGGTGCCTTTTGTAACAACTCTCTGAAAATTTTGATTGACATCAAGCCACCACCAGGGGTTAGTGTTTTATCAGCAGGTGTGTGTTTTTTTTCAGTGTGTGTTTGCTTGGGAGGCTTTTATTTGTTAATAAAGACTGCTATTTAACAAAGCGGTCTTTATGACTTGCTCTGTTAAATAAAGGTTACATCAACTCCTTGCACCTTGAACTGTGTTCATCTTCATTTGATAGCTCTTCAACACAATACAAATATGTTTTTGAAATATTGTCATACCTGTATTTCTTTCACATTAAGTTGTTTGTGTGTCTGTGCGTCTTTGATTGATAGTCTACTAAGGGCTCATGAACTATGTAAATGTGCCAGATTTGGCCAATTCATCCACTTGAGTACTACAAAGTAAGGGGAAGCCTATTAGAAGAAAGTGGAATTTCACGAAGTGGGATCTTAAAGAGAGAGGCCCTAAAACAGCTTCATCGTGCAGATGACAATTTGAGAGGCTGATTTTAAGAAAGAAATCTTTATTTTACGTGTCGTAATTCTTACAGACCTGGGTGCAACCGGTGGCTCAGAGGTGGCAGCACTCATGGGAACATAATTTTCATCCACATCATCATCTTCAGAACAGACACTACCCAGAGGGACCATGCCTTTGTTAAACTGAGAAAAAATGGATCAAGAATGCAGGTTGGTTTTCATTGTAAAATTATAAATCCATGATAAAACAGAAAGAGATAAAAGATAGAATAGTCGTTCAAAGTTAACATTTATTTTATTTTGGAGGTTTCAACTTACAAAATAGCTGTTGAAGCTCTCACTGAAATCAAACATGCTTGCTCTGTCAGACAAAGACCGAGGGATGTAAAAAGAGTCGCTACCTGAAACAGAAAGTATTGAGACAAAATCCATGAGTAGCTCAATCCTCTGTTCAATGATAACAGACAAACTTGTTTTGGCTTTCTATTTATTTGTTTCTTGCTGGGTTTTTTTGTTGTTTTTTTTGTTTTTTGTCTACAGATGTGAAAGTGAAAGTGATTTTCTTTCCAATGGCAAAGCTCTTCCAGTAAACTGCCAACTACTTGTATACCTTTGCAGATCGTAGACTTCTGCTGACACGCATTTACACAAACAGCATTTGTACAGTGGGTTTGACCAAATGTGAAACTGAATACGCATGGTGGGTAATCTAAGAAGGTGGGACAACCACATGCATGAAATAACAAGTCTGACCTTGCATGAATCTATCTTAGATATACTTGAAAGCAGCTGTTTCTTTATGATGGAAACTTCATAGAACTGGAAAGAGAATGTGGATTAAAAAAAACAAAAGAAAAGAAATCTCCTTGTGCTGTTGTTGGGCAAAGTTCACGTTTGATTAATGAATCAAATTATGGAGCAATCATGCACAAACAGTTTCAGCTGTAACAATATAATCCCTCAGAACTGCTAGCTCTGCACAACAAAGCTTCTTAGCTCTGCATAATCTCCCTCAGGTACGAGGTTTAAAAATCAGATGGCAAACAGTGATTGCAGCCTCCTAAAAAGATTTAGCATTGAACTGAGTACAACATTAATGTGCATGAACTTGTCTCTGAATATTACTAAGTAGGCACATCTGGTACCAGAAGGTGTTCTCATGTGAACCAGTTTTCATTAGTTTGCACCTTTTGTGGGATTATTACTCCAAATCTGACACTTTGGTGATTAAATTAATGACAAATGTAAAATGGTAAAAATGTTAGTGGTTGGTGTTTTAGAAGCGTAGAAAAAAAATGCTATCTCAATAAAATTCATGAAGAACAAGAACATTGTCTTCTGGTTTGAAAAATGAATCCAGTGACGTGCATTAAAGCTGCGTTATTTTTAATAACTAGCAGGGCAATTAGTGGTAAACAGCCTTACTTGTTTGTTAAATTAAGGGAGGTCTATCTCTATCTCTCTGAATACAGCATTAAATTTATGTTCAACTGATGAAAAAAAAGCATGAGATCACAATCTTCCGTAGGGTTTCAGTCATATCTACATCTCACTCCTCATATCAGGTTTCGAAACACCAAAAGCCTTCAAAGTAAGAGCCAGCAAATCCAGAAGTGACATCACAGTAACTTTGTTTAGAGCAACACATTTTAAAACTGTTTAGTTTTAAAAGTCAGCTACAATAAAACATAATGAAACCTGGATCATTACAAGTTTGCATAATGGCAATTAAAACAAAAAGATCTGAAGAACCAACTGAGAATTACCATCCAACACTGTCAGTCTCCAGATTCATAAAGTCTCTTTTACGTCACAAGTTTCCTGCAGCAGCAATAAAACCTTAATGAACCTGCTGTGTAAAGCCTACCCTGCTTTAAATTGCAGCCTAAGTTACATACAGCTGATTAATATCCACTAAACATGGTACACACGGTAAAGCATTTTGGCAGCTAAATCAATGCCTTACACTGGCACTGATTTATCTTTAGTTCTACAGCTAGAACTTATAGATTGGCTTAGCACAAGGACTATAAAATGTCAAAAACAGCGAGCCTGGTTGAATCCAAATGCAGCATGGAACACACCAGCCAGAAGGTCGACTTGTTTTGACAACAACTACATTTTTAGAGCTATTGTTATAGCCCCAACATGTGGATACCAGATAAGAGATAACTAGATCAAGACTTCTGCTGGTCACTATATAAGACTGAAGAAAAAAAATGTTCACATGAAAACTACCAGGTTCATTTTGTCTGTCTTTGGCTCTGTACAAAGATTAGGTACCCATATGTAATCAATGCCAGCTCAAACTGACAGCTCAGTGGGACTCAGATTGCAGACAGACAGAAACATCTTCTCGTCTGTTATTTGCACATTATGTTTATTCATATTCAGGTGTTGTGTGTATTGACGTTAATCAAGAGGAAATAAAATGCATCAACTGGCATCTCAAAGGCTCCTTAAAGAACTCCCTAAATCTGATTTGTTGAATGTGTGAAAAATAAAAAATCTAATGAATGAAATGTTGGTTTTGGCATTGAAATCTGAAGGATTATTTGTTTGAATTATCAATGTCAGGACAGTATTGTCTCCTTACTTGTATGCATGCATCCTGGTGTAGTGACGGTGTTGCTCCTTGGCAGATGTCCTCCTCCATCCACACTCTCATCCCTCCTCTCTGGCTCTGAGGCAGTTCGGGGGAGTGTGGCAAGCTTTGAGCTTTCTCCTTGGGCTGCAATGCCAGGAGGTTTTGGTGGGCGCGGAGGAGGAGTAGGGGTGGAGGCATGAAGCTCTGCTTGGGTTAGGGAGTCCACACTAGGGGTAGAAGATGGGCGGCGAGGGGGCGGCGGTTGTGAAGTGCATACTGGACGTGGGATCTGGTAACCACTAGTGGTGGATGAGTGTGTGCTTGGATGCACATTGGAGTGCACATTATCACTGAGAGGTATTGCTACTGGACGAAGGTGAAAATCCAGGGAGTGCTTTCTGGGATGCGGAGAGGGGTGACAGCGGGGTCTGCCAGCTCGATTCTGGGAGTCAGGGGTTGTGCTGGCATCTAAAGACTGGCTGAGAGGGCTCGACATTGCAGTGACTGTCCAAGGGACCACTCTAAAGCCAGAAGAAGAGGAGGAAGAGGAGTAGGATGGATTTGGAAGGCTGCTGGGGAGGAGGGAAGGAGAGGAAGAAGAAGAAGAAGAAGAGGAGGTTGCAGAGGGAGGCGGGTAAAGGTTGTCATTGTAGTCAGTTTCAAGAGATGTGGATGACCCTAAAGGAGCCCTACAAAAAGAAAGAGAGAGATATCAACAAAAAGACTTGAATAAAAAGAGTTTGTTTTTTCTTTTTCTTTTTTCCTTATGAAGTTGTATAGTTTATCTGTTTATTTTGGTCAAAAATAAAGACGAATAAAATAGAAAGGTTTTCTTTGCATTACAATTATTGTTGATTTTTCCCATCATAGTCCACTCAAGGCTTTGGGTTCAAACCTCAACAACTAAACGTGTCTGGAAAGATCAAACATTTTCCAACTGAGGAGGAAAATAGGTTTTATTGTGCTGTTCTGAGGAACTCTCCCATGAAGTTTCATGAAGTCAACCTTTTCCGTGGGTGTGATCCAAGCTAAATCTCAAATCCCCTTTCTTAGAGTCAACACGTCTGAACCTGTAACTCTGGTAGTTTAGCTGATTTATCTTCAGCTGGTTCTCTTTAGTCTGAACTGGAGTGGAACTGGAGTCAGAGTGGAAAAGTTATTTTTGCATTTTTAGGATTTTGTTTTGAGCAATAATATGACTAAAACAAAAACTAACTAGATATATTAAACAAAGCTTGCAGATCTGACAGGCTGTCTTTTATAATTCTGTTTTCTATCATTGTGTTTTTATTTGTTTTGTTAGAGTTTAAGTATAGATTCTGGACTCATTTTGGCATTTTAACTCAGTTTTTACAGAAACCGCAAATCTTTCTATGAGGTTAAAATTTTAGCGAAACTCTAAAGGCTTCAGAAGACGTCTAAAGTTAATTCGCTGCTCTGTTACCTTAAATGATATTGCTAACAACAGGATTTATTAACACATTAGGAATTCTGAGTATACCTTCAAAGTTAAATAACTTAATTAATGCAAAAAGACTTCTGGGTGCATAGAAATCTATGGGAAAATGGCCATAAGATCCCTTAATCTATGACCTTCAGTAGTTTCCTGATGAGTTTAGTGTCTCGATCGTGAGTTTCAAGTGATACTGAATGGAAGATTAACTTGTAGATTATGGTCCTAATGCACTGAAGTAGAAAAGGATGATAAAGCTGGGAATTTTTTACTCAGTTATTGACAAGTCATTTCATGAGCAATGGCCCTCAATTGCACAATCATGTCCCCTCATACATTCGCAATGTCTAGTTAGAAAACCCTAACAATATTGTAATTGTATACATACAATATACTATATATACAATATCCATCAGGTTTGTTTCAAGTGTTCTGTATCTCGATTTTTCCATCCACTACATGTTGGAGATATTCCATCTATGACATGTTTGCTTATTTAATTAAAGTTAAATCTTCAGAAAAATATCTTCCTATGATATTTTAAAACTATCCTTAAAAGAGGATTAAATTGTTTACAGACAAAATCACCAGATAACCTTTACTAAGTAGTTGGAAATCATTTAGACTTAGGTGAAAAAAAAATCTGGCCATAACCTATTGTAACTTAATCTATCTTAATTGAGATGTAGAGTTTGCCAGGCATGGATTAAGCCTGAACCTCCTAGAAAACATGTTTGGTCTAAGACTAAGCTGGGAAAATGAGCTTTAAGACATTAATGACTAGGCTTTTTTTGTCTTATTGTATCTTTGTGTTCATTTATTTACCTGATGTGACTCTGGCATTGTGATAACCACAGATAATCCTCCTCTGAATTCCGGTCAGGCTCCATGTGCCGCACACTCACCGGGTCATATGGTGGTGGGACTAACCCTGTCATCGTAGAGATGGTGGTGGTGTGACTGACTGGGGTCATAGATGTTGCAGAGGTGGAGGAGGAGACAAGAGGTCTTTCTGGAACTGTACAATGAAAGAAAATAAATCAGCTAATTCAGGAATTAAAAACCTTATAGACAATCTGTTCAAAGGTCCCAAAGCTCAGCCAGTATTTGTCATGTCAGTTTATTAGGCACGCCACTTCAATACTTTTAATGCATATTTTACCAGCAATTTGTTATTCTTCCTGTTGTACTGAAGTGCATTTTATTGAAATGCTACCAATATATTTATTATTTATACGTTATATATTAACATACATTTGTTGATTATCTGAGCAAAACATTGGAAAACCTTAATAAACTGGAGTGTGGTGCAGTATTGATGATGCAAAAACTATATTGGCATTACTGTGTTTGATTGCATTACAATAGATGTTTAGTATAGCGGTGACTTACTTCATGTGTGAATTTACAGAAGCTCTTTTACATGTTTTTTTCTATAACTTTAATCCTAAAGAGATCTATGTTAATTACAAAGAAACCATTGATTTTACAGTCAACATATGGAAAAAAAATAACTGATTTGTTGCATTGTATCATATCAAATTTATATCAAAAAATCAAATTTATATGTGTTATATCAAATTTATTCAGAATATGAAACCTCTGATAAAACATCCATCTATTATAAACACAAATAAGACTGTTTAACTCAAAGGATCCATTTCACGTGTGAACACAAAGTTCAAATGTACAAGGGCAAGCTGCTATAACAATATCATAATATTTATATTGTTTAAATGTATTGCTGTACAGGTCTGAGTCAATGGCAGCCACAATCGTGAAGGCATACTTGTCTACTTTTCTTTATGCATGTTCTCTCCTCCTCCTACTTTTCACACTGACTCAACCACAGCCCACGCAGGCAAACATCCACTTCAAATGCAAAACAAGAAAGGTACACAGAGCATTTTTCACTTGTCTAATAATTGGATATCTACCATACCATCATCAGTAGGGTTGAAGCCACAGAGCAGGCAGATGGATGTCACCCAGCGGTTCATGTCCTCTTCAGACTCAGCCACCAAGTACCAGATCCTCTCTTCTGTCCTGAGGTCAAAAACAAAGCTGCTCTCTAGCTCCTTTTTCGTGAAAGAAAGGCCAGCATCCACCTGACGGAGAGGCAGAAATGGAGCAGACTTGTTACTGTCAAACAGTCAAACAACCCTTAGGATTTATTAAGTGTAAGTGTTTACATAGTTGAGTATCTATGTACATAATATACACACATTCAATTGGCATTTAACAAACAAAAAGAATTTGAAAGAAAAAAAATAAATTATGAGATGTGATCATAAAGTTCCCTGTGTCTCTCAAAAAGTGAAAAATCATACCTAATTTAAATTTGGTCAACCTTCCCCTATGGGCCGTCGAGTCCCAACACACATGCATGTTTGGATTGCATCTTAGAAGACACTCAGGCATGCGGATTTGTAATTTCAAACTTTCCCAAAAACAAAATATCACAGTCCGTGTCAAAGTAATTCAACCGTTATGCTAATGATCACTGGCCCAACAGCAATTTTTAATCAAAGTGTCCCCAATGTCCAGACCTGAATTGATTGCACCAGGTCAGGAACACAACAATGATCTATTTTCTGACAATCCCAAGGTTGTGCGCCAAGAATTCGTCCCCTGTGGACAGACTATCAAAGTTCGACTTTACTGCAATGTTCCGATGTGTCAAAGGAAGATCATTCAGCAGAAACCACCTTAAATAAATCACATTTTATGCTGCACACAAGACATGTGTGGCCATGCCAACACAATCTTTTTAGTATTATTACCAAACCAATGTTAGTGTTGTGACTTTCACAGTGTGTGATTCGGTGTAATCTAATAATTAGTAGTTCTGTGCTACAAGTCTTGCACTGCTCAAAGAAAGAAACTTAAAAAGAAGATCAGTCAAAGTTGAAATAAGAGAAACTTTCTCTTTTCTCATAAAGAAAATTCAGGAACTGATTTTATTAACAAAATCTGTGTTGCCACACTCTCTCTTTATTTTGCAAATAAGATCATATTTACAAAAAAAAAATGTTTAAAGACATAAATCCAACATTAGGTGAGATAGTAATATATCTGTCATCTCACCTGTTCGCACAGATTCAGATTGATGTTCCTGATTGGCCGACGGGAATGCGGGTTCTTGTAGTATTGCAGAACGTCCGGCTCTCCGCTCAGTCGACCGCTTCGCAGCACAAACCAGCGCCTCTTCCAGGCCTAGACAGAGTAAAAGATTTATTACTAAAAAAGGTTTTTATGTGTAAAAATAATCTCAGGACAAGATGCAAGCACTCAACCCCTGTGTGCCAACTGCTGAGATCTTTTTGAGACTTTTACTTTGGACTTTGAACTTCAGTCTTCTTCCTGAGTGAGTTATTGATTATATGAAGTTTTTTTTTTTCTGTCCTTCTTCCGTTACACAAACTCATTAAACGCAATACTGTTGTCTTCCTCCATGTCCTAAGTTTCACACTTCAGTGAATTTGAATGCTAACTAAACATCACACACACGCCTACGTCCACTGAACTGCTAAATGTTTGACACTTGTCTCCGGTCGTTTGGCATCAGGTGTTGGGCATTACAGGTAGGGTCTATCTCCAACAAATGATCCACAGGAAGGCATCTCATACTTCAGACATGACTCACAACCAGTGCATTTGTGCCATTAGTGTGTAGGCAGAGTGTGAAAGAGAAGTCATGATATTTTTTTAAAGGTGTGAAGCAGAGCATAAATAAGGATTTACATTTCATAACAGTACAGGGACACGTGAATGCACAGTTTCACATTCAGGGCTCAGGTTTTCAGTTTAAAGAAACCTGAGATTTTTCTTACAAAAATTGAACAAATGCCATTTAAAACACAGGAACAAGTTTTATGCTTCTGTTTAAAAGGCTGAATACAGTATGTGTGTGTGTATGTTTTTGTGTTGGTCCGACAAGCTAAATCCATCCTTTCTGATCCTCATGAACTATTTCTCAACAAAATAAAATGGACTCCTCGGGCCTGAGCCTCAGCGGGAGTTTATGTGTTTGTGTGCTTGTTTGATCAAAGCGCACAGTAATGAATGGCAAAACACATTTCACCCTTTTTTTCTTCAAACCCAGACAGGAAAAGGAAATAGCTGAACAGGAAATGCCGGTGGGAGATGGCAGTATGAGCATGTGTTTATTGACTGTCTCCCTCGAGCTGTTTGATGATCTGCTGGGTGCTGGGGAGATAAAAGCAGCAACATGGCAGAACTAGTATGAAAATACTTTTTGATTCTTTCTAATTAAAGTAACAGGAACAAGCTGCAGCGGACTGGATCACTCACCAGCATGGCCTGCAAAATCCTTTTTAAGTTCCTGGTAACACAGGCTATTACTAGAATAAGTCATGATGGAGCAACCAGATTAAGAAACACACTAGATTTAAAGGGATAAAAAGGTAATCAAATTTTAATGTTGTTATTATGCAATAAGTACTTCTTTTACAACCTGACATGCAAACTTCAACAAGTTCAACATTGTACGAAAGCATTTGTTTGTCAAACTAAATTGGTGTTCAGTTTGGACTTGATTTTATGTACTGACTCATTGGGTTTCTTTATGTTTTTAATTTAAAATAATTAATATATTTAATAATATAATTATAATAAAATACAGTGATTTACGACCCTTAATAAACACTTGATCATTAGTTTCATTCACTTCATTATTGTCTTCATATTCATGAATTTTTTTCAGTGTCCAAAAAGTGTGTTTGGTGTTTTGTTTTATTTTAAAGATGTGACTCTCAATAATCAGATACCAAAGTATCAAAAATACTATTCTTATTCCAGTTTGTGAAATACTGTTTTCTTTTTTAATTTTGCTTTGGATTTTTTCACCTGACATCACAGAAATGAATAAAAGTTTTCCTTTGGTATTATTGCCTTGACTCACTGACAATTTGATGTCCTGTAGTAATGGTTCTTTTTTGAAGGTTGGAAAAGTGAGCGGGTTGTTTGTCAACATGCATTTCTACTTATTGCGCTAGTATATCCTTGTACTTGTATGCCTACAAACACCCTCATTTCTCTTGCATCCATTGGGTCAGCTGAACTTTGATTTACCCCACATCATGCCTGCCATGCAGTGACAGGTCTAGGGCATCATTCATTTTGCTTTCTTCTGTTCCACAGTACAAGAGATAAGACTGTCTCCATGTCTTTGTAAGGTTTTACAAATATGAGATTTTTTTCTTCTTAATAAAAGGAAATCTATTGTGCTCATTTCTAAGTTATTAATTTTTATTCTTGTACTCTAGAGTAGGTTTACATGGTTCCAAGCTCAAAACACTTCTTATTTATCCCTTCCTCTTTAAGCCAACTTTCTTCAGATTGGCTGCTGATCAGAAGAAGAAAAAAAGCTTGAATGGCGGTGGGTGGGGCTTTTTGCTCACAGTCCCAGCTGTGTGGCTAAGATGACCATATTAGGTATGCATGCTACTATGCTAAGGCTACTATACTAAGGCCAACAGTAGGAAAGTAACATGTCTAAGACCAACATTTAGAGCAGTCTGAAACATCTGTTCTTCACTCACATAGATTACTTTCCACATTTGCTGATTTCACAATTTGGACAGTCCATTCATCGTCCTCTTAGTTGCTGATCTGATGAAAAAGATAAAATTTTAAGAAAATGTCAACCAATTATACATTTCCTCACATATTTTATTTATTTGGAACTGTACTTCTACTTTGCTATCATCACCAAGACAGTGGTCAGAACAGACACACTAACAAACAATTACTTATATTCTTTGTTCCAGTTTATACTTTTGCTCCTATATTTAAGATCCCAAGTGTAACCTCTATGGACAACATTTATTTAAATTTTAAAGCCACCACAATCATTCCGGTTCCAAAAAAGTCATCTCCCTCCTGCTTTAATGACTACCGTCCTGTTGCACTTACTCCCATCCTGATGAAGTGCTTC